TTTTTTTTTTTTTTTTTTTTTTTTTTTTTTTTTTTTTTGGAGTCAGCATTTCTCTGTGTAGCTTTGGAGTCTGTCCTGGAACTTGCTCTGTAGACCAGGTTGGCCTCAAATGCACAGAGATCCGCCTGCTTCTGCCTCTGAGTGATTTTTGTTGTTGTTGTTGTTGTTATCATTTGTTGCTGTGTTGGGATCTGCAAATCACCCCACAAAAGACCGCTACTTACTTATGCAAAGCAGAAGCATTTTAATTCTCAAGAGACAATTCCAGCATCCTGGGATCTGTCACCCAACAAAATGGCAGCGACTTGGAGAGAAGCTCCCAGGCTCCTTTTATACACAGCTAGGGGAATTCCAGAGACAGTTAGGTCATCTCCAACAAGCCTGATTGGCTAAGCAAGAAGCAGTTACATTAGTTTGAATTTGATTTGCTGCAGCATCTTTGGCCATGTCAGGGCAAGTCCAGACAAGCCTGGGCATGTCTTAAGGGGGTCTAGGGATCTGCCCTTTCCTGATTGGCTGGCGCCAGACCATGGTCCCTCCCAGGAATGCTAGCCCAGCCAAAGCCCAGTCCTAGACCGAGCATGGCACTTGTCAAGCCATACATGGGACGGGCCCCTAGCCATCCCAGAACCAGAACCAGGCAGGCTGCCAGTCTCAGGAGCGGGTTGGGGAGAGGGTCTTGGCCTCCCAGAAGCAGGGTTGAGGGACCATGCTGAAGGCCAGGGCCGAGGCAGGTGGAAGCGGGGGTCAGGCCCAGCAAATAGGCTTGGCGGACCCTGCTTACCCACCGCTGCTGCTGGCTGTCTCAGCTGTTTTGGGGGGTTTGTTTGTTTTTTGTTTTTTTGTTTTTGGGGTTTTTTTTTTTGAGACAAAATGTCATGAATTCCAGCCTGGCCTCAAAAAAATCACTGTGTAACCAGGGGGACTTTGACCTTCTGGTCTTCCTGCCACTGTCTCCAGTGCACTGGGATGACAAATGGATGGCACTATACCTGGTTTATGAGCCACTGAGAATCCAGTCTGTGACTCTGTGCATGCCAGGCAAGACAGCTCCAGTCTTGCTTTCTGAGTCAAAGTCTCATTGTGTAGACCAGGTTATCCTGGAACTCATGGCGGTCCTTTGGCCTCAGTCTCCCAAATGGGAGCCACCACACCTAATTTAACCAAATTCTACCTATTTTAAAAACCACTGAGGTGGCAAGTAAAAATGTCACAGGAGCCTGATGACATGAGTTCAATCCCTGGAGTCCACACAAAGGTGGAAACGGAGACTACACTTCTCAGAGTCACCCTCCGACCATCACCTGGGTGACGCGGCACACCCATGTCCCCACACAATGATAATAAATAATTTTTCAAAATTGGTTTGTTTCTTTTGAAAAATGAAGGACAGAAGAAAGAAAGGGGGGTGGAGACAGACAGAGAAGCTGCTGTTGGGCCTAGAAAGACGGCCCAGTGGCTAAGAGCAGTACTGTTCTTTCAGAGATTAGTGTTTGGGTCCCTGCACTCATGTTACAGCTGCCTGTAACTCCAGCTCTAGGGTGTCTGTTGCCCTCTTCTGGCCTCCATGGGCACTGCACTCTCATGAGCATATATATATATATATATATACACACACACAGATACACATATATACACATAAATAACAAATCTTTATAAAGAAAAAAAAGAAAAGTTGCTATATTACAAATTGTTTGGGAACTAACTTGTCTCACCTCAGGCCTGAAGTTCTGCCCTAGGAGTCTGTGAGAGAGGTCACCATGGCCAGCAACCTCTCCCATACCAGGAAACAAGTTACCTCTCCCACAAAGAAGGCAGACACACTGTTCCAGGGCAGCCTAGCATGTGGAAAGGGATGGGAGCCAGCTGGGCCAAGAAGTCCACATTTGTGTACAGTCAACTGAGATCCCAAGGGGGCACCTCCCATGACCATAGAGATCTGCGGGCCCCAGAGGAGATTAGGAAAGCATGACATTCCTGGCGGCAGACCAGCTCCACATAACCCTGGAGAAAGTCAGGAGATGGATGGTGCCAGCGGGAAGCAGCAAGGAGCTTAGAGGCTCAGCGGGCAATCAGGCCGGGGCCCACATAGCCGGCCATTGACTCTCCTCCTTTACAGGGCTCGGGGATGGTGATGTCCACCCATCCTTGGATTCAACAAATGTTTATAGAGTTAGTGTAAACGTGGGTATCAGGTTCCTGCCTGGCCCTGAGGTCGAATTTAGAGTGTATTGGAAGACAGAGGCAGTGAAGAAAAAACAAAACAAACCAAAAAATCTGGGTGTGGTGGCACACACCAGTGACCCTAGAATCGGAAGGGTGGGAGCAGGAGGAATAGAAGTTCAAAGTCAGCTATACAGTGAGTTCAAGGGCACCCTGACCTTAATGGGACTGTCTCAAAGGAAAAAAGGGGGGGGGGCAAAAGAAGAAATTAAGCAAACACAGTAACAGGGAGGGGACTTTCTCACAGGATGACTTGGCAGGGAAAAGTCATGAAAAGCCTGAGGGTTATCAAGCTTGTCGTGTGGCCCAAACAGTGGCAGATCAGTGAAAACAGAAGGAGGTAAGCAAGAGCTAAGACCCTTAGTGTTTAGGGGTTGCCAGGTCTTGGTTTAGTCACGTGTGTGATGGGGAACCACTAGAGGGTTTGGAAAGGGTAGAAAAAATACTGTCATTTTTACCCACCCTACCACCCCCTTCTTAATTTTTTTTTTTTTAATTTTATGAGACAGGTTTCTCTGTGTATCTTTGACTGTCCTGGAACTCACTCTGTAAACCCCACTGGCTTCAAACTCACAGAGATTCACCTACCTCTGCCTCCTGAGTGCTGGGATTACAGACGAGCGCCACCATGCCAGTCTTGACTTTGAATTTTTGGTTTTCCCTTCTTAGACTCCCATATACTGGGATTATAGGCAGATGCCACCATGCCTAGCATCCTTATTTTTCTCTTTCTCTTTCTTCCACTTTATTTATTTCTGTTTTAATTTTTGTTTTGGTTTGGTTTTTGGTTTGTTGTTGTTTTCGAGATAGGGTTTCTCTGTCGCTTTGGAACCTGTCCTGGAACTAGCTCTTGTAGACCAGGCTGATCTCAAACTCACAGAGATCCACCTGCTTCTGCCTCCCAAATGCTGGAATTAAAGGCCACCACAACCCAGTTCTTTTTTATTTTTTTTAAAAAAGATTTATTTATTATGTATACAGTGTTCTATCTACATGTATACCTATACACCAGAAGAGGGCACCAGATCTCATTACAGACTGCCGTGAGCCATCATGTGGTTGCTGGGAATAGAACTCAGGACCTCTGGAAGAGCAGCCAGTGTTCTTAACCTCCAAGCCATCTCTCCAGCCCGTTTTAATTTTTAGAGAGGTATTTGCCACCATTCTCAGCTTCTCTTCCACCCTCTAAGTGACACTTTTGGTTGCTACAGAGAGACTTCACCTGTAGGGAAGGGGATGAAGTCCAGGCAGACTATGAAGGTGACTTGACATTGCTGAGCTAACAGAGGCCCGGGAAAGTACAGAACATCTTTTGCAAAGACCAGGATTTGCGGGTGTGGGTAAAGAACACAGATGAGGGGCTGGAGAGATGGCTCAGAGGTTAAGAGCATTGCCTGCTCTTCCAAAGGTCCTGAGTTCAATTCCCAGCAACCATATGGTGGCTCACAACCATCTGTAGGGGGGTCTGGTGCCCTCTTCTGGCCTGCGCTCATACACAGACAGAATATTATATACACAATAAATAAATAAATAACACAGATGAGCTGAGGATGGTGAACTCCAGCTTGGGTAAAAGAGGGTTCATGATCTGAGATGGAGAAGGCCGGGAGAGGTGCAGAGTTAGGAACTGGTAAGCAGGGGACTGACCACTTAGCTCGAGAGAGGAGGAGGTCTGGAAGCTGTGGCTGGTGGTCCTTGTGAGGTCAAAGCTTATGTTGTCTGGCCCCAGAGATGTTAAGATTAGTATATCCTGGAAATCTTCAGTGGTTGGAATGTGTTGAGTGTGATTTTGTTGTTGTTGTTGTTGTTTGTAACCTTCATAAAAGACCCTGGGCAGGGGTGGGGGGTTGGGGTGGGGAAACAAAGCAAGCTTAGAGTGGCCTTGGCAGCCCAACTAAAGAGCCAGTCTCTCCTTCTGTTGCCCCTTCTTCCTGAGCGTAGGTATTTTATCTTTTCATCACCAGGCACCTAAACTGCCAGGCCGCAGATGCCGCGCCTCCTTCTCCCAATGGTTTGAGGCTGGAAAGTCCATGTGGAGTGTCATGAAGACCAGAGAGTCAAAAGGTCTAGGGCGAGGCCGGGCGGAGGCTCCTGTGAGTCAGTGTCAGGCTTCTGAAAGAGCCAGAGAAATGGGAAAGGAAGGCAGACCACGAGGGGAAACGGAGGACTGAAGATAGTTCACCCCCTAAAGAGCTTGGAGGAAAATTGTGGGGCACTCCGGCTGGACCCCAGAACACCTTTGAAAATGCTGGGCAGGCAGGGTGGCGAGAAATGCTAATTAGTTCTGGGGAAGGGGAGACTGCAGAAGTCTTGAGACTTGCTTGCCTCGTTCTGGAGAGCCACTTAGTGAGATCCTGGTCGTCTTGTCTCAGAGAGAAAAAAAAAACAAAAAGCAAGGTTGAGGCACCTGATACAGGAAACCTGAAGTCGATCGCTGGCTTCCATGCTCACACTCACACACATGCGCGCGCACACACACACACACACACACACACACACACACACACGGAAAGGCCCAATAGCAGGATCGCCCACCTTTAATCTCAGTTTTTAGGAGACTGAGGTAGGCAGGTAGATCAGATCTCTGGGAGTTTGAAGCCAGCCTGGTCTATGTAGCAAGTTTCAGGATAGCTAAAGCTAGACAGAATGATCCTGTCTCAACCATAAATAAATAAGGGGCTGGAGAGATGGCTCAGTGGTTAAGAACACGCACTGCTCTCCCAGAGGACCTGGGTTCAATTCCCAGCACCCACAAGACAGCTCATAACGGTCTGTAAGTCTAGTTCTAGGGAACTCAATGCCATCTTCTGACCTCTAAGAACACCAGTCAAGCAAGCGGTGCAGATATATACATGCGGGGAAACTACTCCCCAATAAATAAATAAATAAATAAATAAATAAATAAATAAATAAATAAGGGAGGAAAGAGGCTGGGGATAAGAGCTCAGTGGAGAGCCCTTGCTTGATACAGACAAAGCCTGGTACCAAGCAAAACTATTGAATGGAATTAAGGAAGTCAGAGGCCACCCAAAGCCAATACCAGGGTCAAGACAGAGAGGCCCAGGTCAGCAATAGAACGGCTCTAGGTAGGATCTGAGGAAATGGCACCTTTCAAACCCTCCAGTTTCAAACCTAGAAAGGCCTCTAGGGACCAGGCAGATGGCTCTTCCCCCAGAAAAAGGAACTGGTTTTCAAGAAGGAAACGGGAAGGAGAAGAGGAACACACTGCGCTCTGTCTCCAAGTGTTAGCAGCCCGGAGAGACCGTCAACACTTCTTCCCGACTGAACTCAGAAAGCCCCAGCCCTGTCTTTGCCTTTTCCCTATTTGGTAAATACCCAGGCTCCACGGGGACTGCTTTGTCCGGCTGCATTCTGGAAACGGATGCCATCGTGGTCTTTCTGGTCAGAAGGCTGCCCTTCTCCCCGTTCATCACCCCGGGTCTCCTGTCCTGTGCTCCCAGGCTGGCTTCTCGTGACTCACACAGGCACATGAGCTGCAGCTCTGCGGATGGGGGACTGGGGATGGTGTTATTTCCTGAGGAGCAACTTGGGTGGGCACGGGGTGGGGGTGAGGGGGGCAAGAGGGGAGATGGCTGATTCAGCTTCCCCAAGCTGGGCTGCGAGCCAAAGAAAACACAGCTGGAGAGGATGCGCTGCAAGCATCAGGCGAAAATGAAACAAGCTAACATCTTGGGCAGAAACCCAGCTTGGCATCCCGAGGCCAGCAGAGCTTGTGTTTATTCGCTTGGACATCCACCCCTCTCCCTTGGACCTCAGTTGCTCCATCTGTCTGACCGAGAGACAGTCATATGGGCACACTGGCACTTCCCAGTCATCCTGCCTACTCAAGAGGCTGAGGCAGGAGGATCGCACACTCAAGGCCTGCCTGGAATGCAGCCTGAGTTCAAGTTCGGCCTGAAAACCTTAGTAAGACCCTGCCTCAAAGTAAACAATACTCACTGGGGAGGCCAGTGAGATAGCTCAGTGGATAAGGACACTTGCTGCCAAGCCCGATGTCCTGAGTTCAATCCCTGGGACCACATGTTGGAAGGAGAAAAAGGACTCAAGCACGTTGTCCTCCAGCCATTGCACACTTGCCGTGACATACACTACCCCTTCCCAGTAAAAAGTGAAATATACCTGTAAGAAGGCTGGAGATATAACTCAGGAGACCTGGGCTGGACAAGCATGAGCAAGGCTCTGGTTTCTAACCACAAAAAGAAGAAAAAGTGTGAGCATGGGATCTGGACCAGAGGGGCTTGAGCTAATTCCTAACCCCCCGGGAAGGGGAGCGATGATGCCCATCTTCTAGCAGACCACAGGCCAGTTGTGTTGTGTGACTTCACATCTGCAAGGCAGTCTGAGAACATTAGTGCTAATCACCAGCTCGACCTACTGAGTCCTTTGGCACGCAGGCGCTAGTTTAGCACTTCGTAGACTTTATCATATAAGCCCTCGCTGCCACTTAATCACCCCCATCTTGCAGACGTGGAAACTGAGGTTCAGGATCAGATTTGCTATTTCCTCTACAACAGTGGTTCTCAGCCTTCCTAATGTTGTGACCCTTTAATATAGTTCCTCACGTTGTGGTGACCCCAAGTATAGAATTATTTTCGTTGCTACTTCATAACTGTAATTTTGCTACTGTTATGTATGAATCATAATTAATTATCTGTGTTTTCTGACGGTCTTAAGCAAACCCACGTGAGAGGGGTCGTTCACCCTTCAAAGGGGTGGAGACCCACAGTTTGAGAATGGCTGCTCTAGAACATTGTGCCCCCAGCCAGACAGCAGCCCATCCACTTAGACGCTGGTCATGTCTGTTCATGCTACAGAAGTTGAACTAAACAAATCCTAAAATCTGTTCCCTCTAGTCCGTTCCCAGAAAAACTGGCTGACGTACTCAGCAAAAGACTTGAACCAGGTCTGTGTGTATACAAAGCTCTTAACTAATGGGCTAGCCTGGTGTCAGAGGCGTGGCTGGGGCTCACCCCTCCACGAGGCAAGGCAAGTTGTGACACTCAGGGAGATTGCTAAAGCCCTCGGGGCAGCACTCTGCCAGAATCACTGGGTGTGGGGTGGGGGAGGGGGAGGGTGACACCCACCACAACACTCTGTGAGGGAAAGGGGAAATCCACACAACCAAAAGGGGAGACTGAGCCTGCCAACTCCCGGAGTCAGGAGTCAGGGCACGGGACGGCACCTTCTCTTACCCCACCAGGTCACACCAGCGCCTGGGTTAAACAGTGAGTTCCAGGCCCAGCCAGGGTTTCATATTAAGACCTTTTCTTAGAAGAACAAAAACAAACAAAAGCAAAAGCAAATCGACCAGGCTGTGTGATTGGAAGTAAATGCTAACTAAGTAGGGCAGGGAAGGAAGGAAGTTGCTTTAAAAAAAAAAAAGTCTCCATTTAGCTAGAAAACAGAATAACAAGAGCCGGCCTTAGGAAGGTGGAAGAGCATTCCAGGCAGAGGGAAATGCAGATGCAAAGACCCTGAGCAAGAAAAAGGTGCATGTTTGGGACTAGAAAGGACAGTAGGCAGAGGAGGGATGAGGGGCGAGTCATGAGAGACCAGAGCATGCCGGCAGGAGCCAAGGTGGCCGAAATGTTAACGACTGTACCTAACACTTCCAAACATCTGGCAACACAGTGACTCTCTCTGAAAATAAGAAGATGGCAGGAGAGGAAGAGGCTGGAAGAGATGAGGGAGGAAGGACAGGAGGAAGGAAAGAGTCTCCTGTTTTGGGAGGGTGCTAGGAACTGACCCAAGGCCTGGCGCATATACAGAAAACCTCACAGCACTGAGCTGCACCCCAGGCCCCAGGTTTGCTTCAGTTTTTAAATATTTATTTTTAGTTATGTATATGTGCCTCAGGAGAATGTGTGTATGTGACTGCTGTGCAGGCCGCAGGCGTCACATCCCCTGGAGCTGGATTGTTGTGGGTCACTGGATGTGGGCTGGGCACTGGGACTTGAACTCAGGTCCTTTTTACATGCAGTAGATGCTTACCTGCTGAGCCTTCTTTCCAGACCCCAGGCTGGTGTCTTGAGTCAGAATCCAGGAAAACAACTTGTCTCAACTCAAGGCCATGCAGGCCTCTAATCCTCCAGATGGCCTCTGCACTCTGCTCCCTGCTCAGCTCACTCCTGGTGTGTGCCCTTAATCATAAGGCATTCATTCCTTGCTCATGGTATGGCGTAGGCTATGCCCAGCCCTTGCAATAGGCCCTTTTATATTTACAATAACCTTCTATTAAGGCCGGGGATGTCGCTCACTTGGCAGAGTGTCGCCGAGCATGCACAAGGTTCCATGTGCACCAACCATCTCAGTACCACAGAGATCAGGAGTGATGGTGCACATCTGCAATCCCAGCATTCTGGAGGGGAAGGCAGGAGGATTCCAAGTTCAAGGCCATCCTTAGCTGCATAGAGATTTCTGGGCCAGCCTGGGCTACATGAGACCCTGTCTCAAAAACCAAAAAACATTCCTCCTCCCTAACTTCTAACTTAATTGAGAGATTAAATAGGGTCCTAAGGACTGACACCCGAGGTTGTAAATACTGATCCCTCAGATAGAAGAATCTAGGCCTTTTGGGGAGCTGTCTCACCACCTCCCACTGTTTGGGAACAATCCCTGAAAATCCAGTAACAGTCACAGAATTTGTCTCAACCTCCAGTTTCCTGCCAAAGAGAGCCAGCCTCACAGACTATAAGGTAAAACCAGGTCCGGGGTGATTAGCCATTCTGATTTGCCTGAGAATGGTGGATTCCCTTGCACAATTCTGGATCCAGGAAGGTCTTGGACGCAAGACTACTTGGTCAGCGGAGCTGGCTGAGTGCTCAGGAAGCATCGTTATCAGTTCCTTCTTTCTCTTTGGCCCGTCCACAACGCTATAAAAAGGTAGCCAGCACCTACCGCACTTTGATGCATGGAACTCTGTGGGCAGTACACGGGTTCCAGGGGCCCTGTGTGGAGCAGCCAGCCATAGGGGTTCACAAAAGAATCCACAGTCCCCCAGGAAGGACAAACCTCCCTCCGGGATGATTCTAGTTGCCCCTGTGGTGTCCTCCTGGGCTTAAAAAAGTCAGGTCTTGCTTCTCCAAGAGGAGAAGATTCCAGGGCGCTAAAACTCCCTGGTAGATTGGGGTCCCATAACAAAGCCAGCACGGAGATGAATATGATGGAAAGGAGGGATTCTGTGCTGGGTGAGGAAACTGAGGCTCCGCAGTAAAGTGAAGGGGTTTGCTGAAGAGCGTGCAGGAAGAGCTTAGGTGACTGGCATTCAACAGCTGTGGCTTGGCAGGCCGCCGTTTGCACTTTTCTCGCTCTTTTAGAAGCAAGTCCCCCCACTTGTCCAGACAGCAGCCGGGCTTGTCACAAGCTCGGTACTCCTCTCTCCACCCTCCCGGCTGCCAGCGTCCCGCCCCGTCCCCTCCCAGCCCCCAAGGAGGAGGGGAGAACAGCAGCGAGGAGGGGGGTCGGGAGGCCCAGGCTTATAAAGACTGCAGGACCCGCGCTGCCCGCCAGACCCCGCCGGCCCGGATCCCTTGCTTTGTCTGCCGTCCGGTGTGACCGCGCCGTCCCCCAGTTCCAACACTAAGTGAGTTGGGGCGCGTCCCCATCGTACCCCTAGACCCTCCTGAGCCGCATGGCCCTCAGAACCCAGGTGGAGAGGAGAGGAGATGAAGGAGGGCGTTGGGATGGGACACCAGGCCGAGTGCCTGATGGGAGAGATTTAGGACCTGGGGGAGCCGGGAGAGCCGGGGAACCCAGGAGACAGCAGACAGCGGTCAGCCCGGCCACCCCTGCGCGGCCTGGGAGACCGCAAGTAGCTCAGCAGGAATGCGCGTGTGGTGGTTGCCATACCAACATACAAGCCAGCACACGCCCTCCTCCTCTGAAGGAAAAGGGAAAATGGGGGGGGGGGGTCATCCTACTGAGGTCCAAACTCGTCACGCGGAGGTTGCACGAGGGAACCGAGCCTCAAATCCTCTAGAGGCAAAGCGCAAGTCGCATCGCGCTTCGGAGCCTCGGTTTCTGCTTCTAGCTAATAGAGACAAGATTACTGGTTCCGAGTGCCCCGAACAGTTTTATGGAGAATAACGGTCCGGGCCAGCACCCCGTTCTAGTTGCACGCCCAAGGAGTAGTTTTGAGCCGCCCAGGTGACACCTGCGATCTCACCCTACCCCCAGGCCTGGTCGCCATGGCCCTGCTTCCGGCCCTCTTCTTAGCGCTCCTGGCAGGTGCTCATGCCGAGCTCCCGGGATGCAAGATCCGAGTCACCTCCGCGGCGCTGGAGCTGGGTAAGGCGCGAGGCGGGCGTCGTGGACCGGGTGGGGTGCTCTCACTGCGGGCACGGGATCTGAGGGTCTCCGTGCTGCCTCAGTGAAGCAGGAGGGACTGCGCTTTTTGGAGCAAGAGCTGGAGACCATCACCATCCCGGACCTGTACGGCAGTAAGGGCCACTTCTACTACAACATCTCCGAGTAAGTAGGGCCTGGGGGCGGGGTCTCAAAGATGGGTGGGATGACCTGAGAGACCCCTGAACTCGGGGTGTGGTCAGTTAAGCCGGGTGGGGCTCTAAGGTAACGGATGGAGGTAGGCGGGTCCAAGAAAGGGGGCGACGAGCCAGTAGAATTGAAGCTTGGACCAATTCTGTGGAGGTGCGCTAGAAGAATTTACCAGTGGCAGAGAGTGGAGTCTCGGCATAGGGTGGTGCTAAAAGGGAGGAAGTTTAAGGATGGTGGAGATGGGAGAGCTGTGACGTGGGGTGAGTTAAAGTGATGGAGGCAAAGGACCAGGTGGAAAGCTGAGTCTGACAAACGCCTGTAATCGGCGCTTTCGAGGGGGGGGGGGCGGGGGCTAGGTCAGGATGGCAAGTTAAAGGCACGGTTGGACTTTAATCAAATCAAGGCCAGGTGGTGATGGTGGTGCACGCCTTTAATCCCAGCACTCGGGAAGCTAGAGGCAGACAGATCTCTTGAGTTCCAGGCCAGCCTGGTCTACAGAGCGACTATGTAGAGAAGCCTGTCTCAAGGAAACAGCAAAAATTAAAATTCCCGTAGGAGAAATAAAAATAAAAAAAAAGATAGAAACAGCAAAAACAGGTCTAGCGATCACAGTTTGGGCAGAGGATGCGGTGCAAGGAACAATACTATATAGATCTTTTTTCCTTTTTTTTAAGAGTTAATAATTTCATTTTGTGTGCATTGTTGTTTTGTCTGCATTCATGTCTGTGTCAGGGTGTTGGATCCCGTCCCCTGGACCTGAAGTTATGCAGTTGTGAGCTGCCATGTGGGTGCTGGGAATTGAACCCTGATTCTCTGGAAGTCGAGCCAGTGCTCTTCATTGCTGAACCATCTCTCCAGCCCCTATTTATTTATTTTTGAGACAGGGTCTTATTATGTAGCCTAACTGACCAGGAATTCACTCTGTAGACTAGGCTGGTCTGCTTTTGCCTTCTTTGTGCTGGAATTAAAGGCGTTTGCCACTATGCCCAGCTTTTTTTTTTTTAAACCAAATCCTTGTGTGTGTGTAGAATATAATAAAAATATATATGTAATTCCTGTAAAAGGATCCCTTGGGTGCACACATTTAAGATCAGTTTGAATAGCAAATGGAGACTCCCATGTCTCTGTGTAGCCCTGGCACCCCTGGAACTCAGGCAGAGATGGTCTACCTCTGCCTCCCAAGTGCTGGGGCCTGCGCCTGGTGACTCACTCTTTTCTTTGTTTATTTTTGGTTAAAGATTTATGTATTTATACAGTATCCTGCCTGTAGGCCAGAAGAGGACACCAGATCTCACTACAGATGGTTATGAGCCACCATGTGGTTGCTGGGAATTGAACTCAGGACCTTTGGAAGAGCAGTCAGTGCTCTTAACAGCTGAGCCATCTCTCCAGCCCCTCTTTGTTTGTTTGTTTTTTTTTTTTTTTTTGGTCTTTTGAGACAGGGTTTCTCTGTGTAGTTTGGGAGCCTGTCCTGGAACTTGCTCTGTAGACCAGGCTGAGCTCACAGAGATCTGCCTGCCACTGCCTCCCAAGTGCTGGGATTAAAGGCATACACCACCACCACCATCCAGCTCTTTTTTAAAATTTATTTATTTATTTTTATTTATTATGTACACAATATTCTGTCTGTGTGTATGCCTTCAGGCCAGAAGAGGGCACCAGATCTCATTACAGATGGTTGTGAGCCACCATGTGGTTGCTGGGAATTGAACTCAGGACCTCTGGAAGAGCAGACAGTGCTCTTAACCACTGAGCCATCTCTCCAGCCCAACTCACTGTCTTTTAAACATTAAATACATAAGAAAAGAGGAAGGCCATTTAACCCCTGGGTCCAGAGAGCAGATCTCTGAGTGACCCGATCCAGGTTGAGCTCTTGAGGGGCAAAGGAAAACTCCATCCC